TTAACAAGTCAATTACAAACAAAAGCAGGGTATCAATGTTTTATTTTGGCACACATACGGCATTCAATTATATACACAAATAACAATACCAGTAACATGTATCAGGCTGTATCTCAAATAAATTGATTTCTATTTCTAACAGGTTTGATAACAAAACCACTGAATTTTGCAAAATAATTTACAAATCAAATCGGTTCCCTCTGGACTTCAAAATTTATACATATTATCATAATATTTTGTTCTGATCATTCCCACCAAATAAGCAATTTCTTACACTGTAAACATTACATGTCAGTCAGAAACACTTTTACCAGGGTAGACTTCTTTTCTAATCGTTACAACTTGAGAGCCAATAAAAGCATTAACTAGAGTTCCCCGATCTCATACCTTCGCCAAATGATGTTAAACTTTATGACTGACAAATTATAGATTAGATTATTCCTCCCTGATTTAAGAAATAGGAACCTAATTTTCATGAATTATATCATTTTATCATAATCTCAACCAAAAGACAGTCTTATATTAACAAACAATGCATTCTAGCATTTCCTAATAAATTATGCAAATGAGGTCCTGATTTGAATAAATTATGTTTAATGATGTTCACGTCAACTAAACTTTCAAATACCACAAGTATGAAATTCCAGGCAGTTATCATTACATAATTATAAAATTTTCTCATTAATTATGCAAATTAAGTCATTATTAACATAATCAATATCTTCCTGTGTTTCTCTCATTGTCAATTACCAATGTCACAAGCTTCAATTGTCCTATCATGGAATGCAGCTGATTTATAGAATTTCGCCATAAATTATGCAAATTACATCCATATTTGCATAATTGTCATATAATTATATTAAACATCGCGTAAGCTACTACATACCAAAAATCATGACGATCCGTCAATCGGTTCTTGAGTTATCCCCTTTTGAATATTTTCAAGAATATATCCCTGCAGTTCTAGCGCAAGCCGCTAGGGGGGCCCAAACTCACGTCACTTCTTCCCCAGCACAAGAGGTACCTACCATCCAAATTTCGTCACTCTAGCATGTCTAGATCATGAGATATCAAAACCGGAAGTTCAGCTGCAGTACCATAACAAGCCGCTAGGGGGCCCAAAATCTAATCATTTTGAGGTCTCATCAAGACCTACCCACCTACCAAGTATCAAGACAATCCATCAAGGCCTTCTCAAGTTATCGTGTTTACAGACAGACAGACAGACAGACACACACACACACACACACATACACGAACGCCCCTGAAAACATAACCTTCTTGGCGAAGGTAACTATCAGGTACATAGGCTTCTCTTCATCTATTTCTGTTTTTCAGTTTCTACACACAGGTTACTCCTATCTCTAAACAGATCTTTTGGTGACCGTAAGGCCACACCAATTTAATTTGTTGCTTCTTGGATCGCCCTGTCCATTTTTTTTAATTTTTGTTCTAAATCAACTGCAAAATGCTCATTAACAATAAAAGACAATTTGGCCCAAACGGTTGAAGAAAGTCCTTTTCTTTCTCTAGTTCTTAAAGTTTTTCAATGTAACAATGTAATTTTGTTTAATCAAAAGTTCAAAATCTATTGTGTTTTAATTATAAACCACCCTGGTATGTTCACTTCATGGCTCATATTTCCGGCTATCATGGGGTGCCTTGGCCTGTTTTTTTATTATTTTTATTTCGCCCTGTTGATTCATATTTTTCCCGAAAAAATCTGAGAAACAACAAATTAAATTGGTGTGGCCTAAAGACATATGCATTTGCCAGACACCAAAATGGTAACTGACAGTTACCAAACTGGGTAAATGGATACCACCTGAACAATTTGATACTGTCTTAGCAGCAACCAAAAGATCTGCTTGGAGATTAACAGGTACATGTAGTATCACTTTGTTCTGACATGTACAGGCTATTTGAATTAATACAAGTATAACAACCCTAGTAGTAGGCAGTCTTTCCATGCATCTGAGGCTCCTTGAATGAACATTACTGTTTTTCTCTTATGATATACCCGTCCAGTATGTCAACACATCATACTGTTATTAACATGTATGTACAAGACTTTTGTTCCTATATGTATCAGGGCTCGAAATTCATTTTTGGGAATGCATGTACATTGTAGGTGCACAGGTGCACCCGACCTAAAAATTTGGTGCACCAAAATATTTTTGGGTGCAACTGCACCGTATGAAACAAAACCTACTGGTAATTGCAGATCTTACTGCTCCTCTTCTGAGCTTGAATCTAAAATGAGAGCTAACTTCAAAATCTTAAACATTACTACAACAAAGATTTTATTATTTTTCTGATACTTAGAGACCAAGAATATCTGGCATACTAGTATACACTTCTAATGTTTAAAAATCCTACAAAAATATTTGGGTGCACCAGTGCACCCACAGAATACAATTAGGTGCACAACAATTTTGGGTGCACTAGGGTGCACATGCACCCAGTATTTTGAGCCGTGTATATAGCATGAAACAAAGGTGAACATTTTCAGTACTCAGCATACACCATATATCACAAATCTTGCCCACCAAATGGACAAGTGGTTACTGTTTTTTTCTTGCAACAATGGAACATAAGGCCACATCAATTTAATTTGTTGGTTCTCAGAATCGCCGCTTCAAAAAATCGCAAAATGAAAAAAAAATTAATTCTTGTTAATTAGAAATCAATAACATCAATTGATCCTAATACATAGGCTATAAAACAGCAATGTTTTAGCATGTATAGTCATAGCTTTGTTCCCAATCCCTTTTTCTAGCCTTAGCTTTACCATTTGGGCATGTTTTTTTTTCCCTGTCGCTTTACATTTTTCATGAAAAAATCCAAGAACCAACAAATTAAATTGGTGTGGCCTAAGTTTACACTTAACACAAAGTTACATACTCTGTAAACTTGTAATCCTGTTCTTGTAATTTTTTACTTGTAAACAGCATAGCCATGCTTTTGTCTTTCCACTTTGTGTTCAACATCTAGAACATTCATTTACTATAAATCACTTTATTGTTGCAGTTGCAACAGTTCACAGTCTGAGAAAAATGGACATGTTTGCAAAACTATACGTTCACGCTGTTAACAGGTGCAGAAAAAAGAAAGTCGGCGAATTACCTGTTAACGGTAACGATGAGTTTGCTGTACAGAAGTGACTGTGAAAACCGCAAATATAAAAGTACCACCAAAAAAATGTGACTTACAGTATGTTTTTACCAGTACAGTGGACCTATCACATTATTACATCACAGTTTGTTTACCTGTTCTAAAGAACATTCTAGAACGGTCAGATAAAGAATAAAGATCATTTCAAAGTTTTCAAAGTCAGGTATGTTTGATTTTTGCTGCGTCTATAGTTTTGTTGACACAGCATTACATGCCGTAATGGGTGATTTAGTTGTGACATGAGACGAAAGTAGTACTGTATTAAAAGCCTTATATTAGGCTAAACGCTACACAAACACACACCGCGCTATGCACCCCTGTACAATATAAACGTTGATTGACCGGCATTCATTGCGGTAAACAAACTGTGACGTAATAATGGTATACATGTAGGTCCATTGGTACCACGATACACCTGTAGTGGATTATTTATTTATAGTGTTTTATTATAACTTAACTCTTCCACACTTAAACATCCTGGTAGTAGTTGTTGAAGCTGAGTCTGAGGAGGAAGTCTTCAAGGTGGGGCTGGTAACCACGGGCAACCAACTTTTTCACCACTGCAAGCAACACAAATGAGGGATTTATACAAAACTCTAAATGCCATGTGTCGGAGAAAGAACAACCTTGACCTAACTTTGTCTAACTTTTGTTTCCTATTGGACTATCAAAAATGTAGCCTGGTTACCAGACCTATTCTAGCTTCCGAGTCTTTATCCTCTCCGCAAATAGGAGAGAATATTAATTAATCAATAGTTCGTGTTTATAAACCTGCGGAATTTCAGAGCTTGCCAGATTTTTCACAAGTGAAGTCATTAGACATCCAAGTAATGAGATACACAAGCAAACTGTTTCTATAACAAAATTTATAACTTGGGAATGCACACTAAGATTCTACCTACAAGTACTACTGATGGCCTATAAAACAAAGACACAAGTCCTACCTCTGAGTAAAGACACAACCAAGTGTTTTATTCAGCTGACATTTTGGTAACCGTCTGTCACCTTCCTCAGGGCAATAGACCCATTCGACTTTCACGGACCGCATAAACTGCTTACATCACAGGGGGGACATTTCGAAAGAACGTCGTTCTAGAACGCTGAAGTTGAACGCGGCTTGCGCTCGCGATGTCCCCCCTGGCAGATCATTTTTTTACTAAAATGTAGGTAAGTGTCCTTTTTTCTCGGTAATATATGCGGAGATGACAGGAAAACAGGCACCAACATTGTATGGTGGCATTCTGTACAACAATTTAACGTTATTTTGTTCTGTGACGTATGCAGTTTATGCGATCCGTGAAAGGAACTTTCGAAATGTCCCCCCTGTGACGTAGTTTCTATTCGAAATGTCCCCCCTGTGACGTATGCAGTTTATGCGATCCGTGAAAGTCGAATGGGTCTATTCTGACTGGTTCACAGTACAATTGTCGCTGCTATAGATGCATTCCCAAATGTACAATATTTACATATCTACAAATATACATGGTTACAGGGAACTGCATCTACAATGCGGTCCCTAGAGTCTTTTTACTCAGTGACTTACCAACCTGATAAAACTATTCGTGGAAGCCCTACCTCTAAAACTAGCATATGTGCACTGTGAACCAAGTACCAGTGCACTGTGAACTATGTAACACCTTTAGTGCACTATGCACCAAGTAACATCTAACGTCAGTGCACAGTAAACCAGTCAGAATTGCCCTGATGAAGATGACAGACGGTCATCGAAACGTCGGCTCGTGAAAAATAAATGGTTGTGATCAAAGAACTTTGCTATTCATTCGTTTACCAACCTGATGAAACTATTTTTGGAAGCCCTACCTCTGTAGAGAAACTCGGAATATTTCTGGAAAGCGTGGAAGCAGCTGGCCATGTTGGGGTAGGCCTGGTGTACCGCCTGGCGCCGGGTCTCGTCGTACTGCCAGGAATAGGAGACCAGATGGATCCGGAACTTCAGGATGACATTTAAGATGTCGGTGATGACCTTCATGACTGGTCCTGCCTTCCTACTCAGCAGTGACCTTCAGAATAAACATGGATGACAGGAATCTTTAACGCAGGCTTTGAAATAATAATTTTTTTCAGGTTGCCCACTGGTTGCAACCTAAGCCAAAAGCAAGGTTACCCGTCAATATTTCAGGTTGCTCTAGTGACACTGCTTTAATAAATATGAACTTTTCTACTTTGTAACTGACAACAAAGAATCCAAACTAATGAGTACAATTTAAAAATGTCTTGTACATTGTAAGTACTCACAACAAGTATACTGAGGTAAAACAAACTATGCATATTAAACATTGGAACATGCAAGAGATAATAAAAGTTAGGACTTTGCAAAATGACAGCCTGCTTATTTCAGATGTAAGCCAGCGGATTTGTAACAGAGCTAGTGCTCTTTTTGTGTTGGACCAAAAGTTTTAACTTTAAACATGTAACTACCAACACAGATGAACTTTCATTACAGAGCTAGTGCTCCTTGTGCATGCACAAAAAAGCGATTTGCATGCGCAAGGCACCCTGTTACAAAACAGATGGCACCCAGGCAAACACAGTTTATTTCAGAAGCTGTGCCACTGTACAAAGCTTTGTAGACCCCTTTGTAGGCCAAAAAAATGATGACTTGCGCGCTGGGCAACTTGGAGTTTCCCGCAAGTCTCAAACAAAAAATATAACGAGAGTGGGTATTTCAAACCATGAATACTAGTACTGTACAAAGTGTGCAGTGGCAGGTGATTCTGACCTGAAGATGGCCTTGTTGAGGTACTCAGCATGGCGCTGGTGCAGCTCGTCCAGACTGTGCACGTTCTCCCTCAGCTCCTTACAGAACTCCTGCCAGCTCACGTGGATGATCTGGTTTGACACGTACCCCTGCATCACTCCCACAAAGTGCTGCATCTCATGTCTGATGGAGAGAAAATATTCAAGGTGGAACAACTACAGAAATATAGAAATTTTCTGCAAAATCTTTTGACCCCTATTCACACTCAAAAATATAACTCCGATTAATATTGTCAAATCTTTTCATAATTCATCAAACCTATTGTTTTTTTTGCAAACATGATAGAGAGTCTAGCAGCAGCATTTTGGAGTTAATTCAAACCTGATTTATATCAGAAAGAAATGAAGCAGGGGAATCTGAAACAACAATAATATTGATCAAATTGGTGCAATTTGATTTGTTGGTTCACAGATTTTTTGAAAATATGGTTGACTGGAAAAACCTCACAAAAGCAAAGTCTGAGGACCTGATTGATGCCTTGGTGGACAGTGTTATGTAGTTTTCTTCCTAGCCCTCTCATTTTATGATGTCCGCTTGCTATCTTTTGAACTAAAAATATCCGAGAACCAACAAAATGAATTGGTGTGGCCTAAAACTACAATTATTTATATATTGTGACTCAATTTCCTCACCTGAACAGCTGCAGCTGTCTGAACTGGGAAGAGTTTCCTGCCCTCTCGGTAACAGCTGCAGAAAAATTTTGTTAGTAATCATGTACAGTAACTGATAGAATCTATAAACCTAAAGGCTGTCTTAAAAGTTTGACAGCGTAACGGTAATACAAGGGGGGGACGCAACCAATCAGACTCTGGCACTTTACCACATCATGCAATACTACATCGTCAGTTTGGAGGTTCATAACAACATTTTACACATTTCATCTGACATTATCACACAAGTTGACACTGGCAAAGTACAGTTGCTCAAGTTGAAAATTAGTATAATGGTCCTAAATTTAGCATCATCATCATCTGTTCATGAGAGTTTCACAGATGGTGAAACTTTAGCATGGTGGTTGCAAATAATAGTGTAATGGCCTGATACACTAAAAATCAAAATGCACTAGCTAAAACCTAGAAGTGGTATGTATATGGTATATGATTTTAATACAGACACTGAAACTATTTGAGCAAACATAAAACACCCAGAAGTTGGTAGACAGAACACTGACCACTTCTTTTCAGGTGGAACCAGATGTCCTTCAGTACCCAGGTGATCCTCTTTAACTGGAGCATGAAGGAGAAAATCTGGAAGACAAGAAATAATGGCATGCACAAGATGATGACCTTGTCCTTTTCCCACACAAATTCTCAAAAACTGTTTCTTTGTATTAGTCCCCAATTTGATTTGTTGAGCCGAATGAAGAGCCGAATCCGAGAACAAACAAATTAAATTGGTGTGGCCTTAAAGGTACAATATTTAAAACCATGCGCAATCTGCTAGTAATTCTGAATAAAAACACTATTTTTACACAACCAAGAGGTTTATTGAGCCAACATTTGGGGGACCTTCCTCATGTGCATGTACATACAGAAATATCACAGTGTATCACACTCCTGTACATTTGGGACCACACTGTATTGATACTGTTTTTTCCCTGTGACTGTGTAGATATGCATTGAATATTTTGAGGTTGGGAATGGATCTATAATTATTATTACAGGGACACCTGTGCTGTACAATGTAAACCAGTCACACTTGCTATGAGGAAGGTGACTGACGGTCACAGAAACGTCAGCTGAATAAAACACTTCGTTTATTCAGTGACCTAACAACATAATGAAACTATTCACGGATGCTAGTAATCTTGACTTGAGAGTTAGTGATACAAAGGTAGTACCGTACAGTAACTGAGGATGAAAATAAGTCTTTCTGAATGTCTCACCTTGTTGTACTTGTTGATAGTGGTGTCTGTGATGACAATATTGAGGGGCCAGTCCACCTGTAGAGTAATGGATAGGGTTAGGATACATCTGTCAGTACATGTATATGTTACATCTTAAATCTTCCCCAGGTACAAAAAATGTAGGCCTGTCGACTAAAATCATTAAATTGAAACCTGAACTAACCTGCATATGCAGGTTGTATTTCGGGCCCTGAAGGTGCATATAAAGTAATATTTTTAAGTACATGTAGCAGCTTTCATATAACTAAGAAATTGAAATATTAAATTACCTTGTATCGAAGTTCAAGGCAATCCAGTGTGTCATGTGCTGTACAAAAAAACAAAGCCACATTTTACTCAATACAGCACAAACAAAATGTATGGTAGTGAATGAAGAGAATCTTTTTACACAACCAAGTTTTCAGAATTGCCCTGAGGAAAGTGACAGACGATCACCAAAACGTCGGCTGAATAAACCACTTGGTTGTCCAAAAAGAGTCTCTTTATTCAGCTTTGCAAACAGTAACATGCCTCTGTCCTTGGTGCTGAAAGAACAATTACTGACTGACTTTACAGCTAAGTCAATATTGCACACAATTTCAGTGTCTGGTTTTAATAAAACACTTGGTTCTGTAAAAAGAGTCTCTTTATTCAGCTTTGATTCCAGTTTGCAAACTATAACATGGCTCTGTCCTTGGTGCTGAAAAAGAAATTACTGACTAACTTCACAGCTAAGTCTATGGTGCACACAATGTCAGTGTCTGGTTTTAATAAAACACTTGGTTCTGTAAAAAGAGTCTCTTTATTCAGCTTTGATTCCAGTTTACAAACTGTAACATGGCTCTGTCCTTGGTGCTGAAAAAACAATTACTGACTAACTTCACAGCTAAGTCAATATTGCACACAATTTCAGTGTCTGGTTTGAATAAAACACTTGGTTGTGTAAAAAGAGTCTCTTTATTCAGCTTTGATTCCAGTTTGCAAACTGTAACATGGGTCTGTCCTTGGTGCTGAAAAAGTAATTACTAATCACAGCTAAGGCAATATTGCACAAAATTTCTGGCCTGAATAAAATACTGGCACATGTAATTTGTAATCCACATAAAATTATGTATGTATATGTAAGACACGTCAAGTCACCAAAAAAAGACAGTTTGCAGCGTGCAAAATACCTGGTTGCCTAGTTGCCACGGGCAACCAAATTTTACTTGGGGCAACTTATTTTTGAACCTAGGTAGCCCAGTGTGCTACCTGGATTTTAAGAATGACCTTCCCCCCCCCCCAAATCATGCCCACTTGGCTTGCACCACTGTATCTGGCAGATGCTTTTTAACTTAAGGTATTAATGGCTATTACTAGTATTAGGCTGTTAGAAATATTGTCAAAGGCTTATGTATTTGAAAGTAGTAACTTATAGGTGGGGCAACCTAAAATTCTGATGGGCAACTTAATTTTTGCCGTAGGTACTGGGCAACCTGGTTCAAAAAAGTTTTTTGTACACTGGTTTGTACCAACCGTTGAGCTTGAAGTGTTCTGGCAGCCACTTGAGAGCGAAGCTGAAGTTAGCGGTGTAGTCAGAGTCTCTGTTGATGGAAGTCTGGATGGCTCGGGTCAGCACACTGTTTAACACCAGGGGGGACAGCAACTCTTGTGGGGACAGGCCTTGGGCAAGCTATGGATACAAACAGTAAACAATACATAAGAACACAATCAATCTGCAATAAACTGCAATAAAGTGTCACATAGCCTGGAATCCAGCCTTGTTAGCTTTGGTCTGCTTATCAAGATCTGCTAGCCTGACAATAAGACTGGACTCCAGACTAAGTGTCACTCCAGGCTAAGTGACACAGAAGCTAAATATACTGTATACATTTTTAGTTTAAAATAGGAAAACATGCCAGGAAATTGCTCTTGTACAAAAATTAAAATGCCTCCATATCCAAATTTGCTTAGAATACAAGCACATTTAACTACATGTACATGTGTGACAAATTTGGTGCCTTAAGAAAAAAGAGCATGATTTTTCAGCTACATGACTGTATGTCGCTGGATTAAAAGAAACCTACAGTGGGTGTCACTGGAAGACAGAAGAAAAATGTCAAGACTATGTATGATGTACAAAATGACTAATAAACTGTTGGATTTACCAAACTACTATGTATCTAATATCAGCTCAGAAAAGAACAAGGAATACATTGTAGTCGTGTCTTCAATACCAGAGTTATGAACCAAGGATTCAGGTGTTCAAAAACACATTTTTTCCTAAAACTATTCTAGAGTGGAACTTGCTGCCACCAAGTACAGTAGGGGCATCGTCACTGTCCAGATACCTTTAAACAATGTTTACAGCGACAATGTAGATGTGCAAAGGTAAGGTATAACAGGTGTAATATAGCCAGCTGCTATCTAATATAATAGCAAACTAACCTTATCAAAAAGCTGGTCAGATATAGCATGTCCGAACTCCCCATCCTCCATGAGCAGGTATGTCCGCAGGGCTTTGAAATGTCTCTGAGCCTTCAGTTCCACAATGAAGTAATCTACTATAGCCTTATTCACTAGGGTGATCCTGTAGGAAGAAACATCATTATGGAGTGTTTGATGTTCATCTTGTTTTGAATGTGTACAAAATATCCTGTATAAGTACTCTCATCTGCCGAATAAACATACGGGTACGTTTATTTTTTTGGGCCCTAACATCCACCCAGTACGTTCTTATTTTGCACAGTACGTTTATTAATTTTTTGAAAACCAGTAATTTTTTTCAACTTCGTGTGAAAAAAATTGACAAATCATCGACGTGAAGACGTTTATAAACGCGTATTGTAGCGAGAAACTTGTCATTTTCGGGCCGGTTTTTGCAATCACCGCGTGCATAAATTCGTCTGAATGTTCTATTGTCATGGGTGGTGCTTATCAAAATACGAAATATTAAATGCCCCCTTTTTTTTGTCTTTTTTTTTCAATTCCTAATTGCAAATAACAGTTAAAGATTTGTGCATATATCAGTAAGGGCGCATTTTAGTACAAGAGACACAGGTTACCCGTCAATTTTGGTAATTTTCCGGGGGGTACGTTTATTCCGGGGGTATGTTTACTTGATTTTGAAGATTTGTCCGGGGGGTACGTTTATTCGGGGGGTATGTTTATTCGGCAGATGAGAGTATGTATCTTCATGTTCATATCTTTACATTATCACGTAAACCTACATGTACAAAAATATTTGAGTGCACCAGTGCACCCACAGAAAAAAAATTGTGACCACAGCTCCAATTTTGGGTGCACTAAGGATTGAGGTGTTCAAAAACTCATTTTTTCCTAGAACTACCATAGAGTGGAACTCGCTGCTACCAAGTAGGGGCATTCACACTAGATACAATGTACTTGTAGCTTTAAACAATGTTTAGATTTAGATGTTCAAAGGCTAGGTGAAACAAGTTGTTTGGTGCAATGTAGCCAGCTGCTGCCACACCACGTGCCTGCGAAGCTGGTGTGTTATACAGAGGGGTGGTTATACCAGCTATGCAGATACAGATACAGATAAGGTGCGCATACCCTAGTATTTTGAGCCCTGCTCTTACAATGTACAAAGACTACAGACTTACTGTGCAGTAAGGGGACTGGTGATGGAACGTTTTATGAGTACAGGGAGAGAGACTTACTGTGCAGTAAGGGGACTGGTGATGGAACGTTTTATGAGTACAGGGAGAGAGACTTACTGTGCAGTAAGGGGACTGGTGATGGAACGTTTGATGAGTAAAGGGAGAGAGACTTACTGTGCAGTAAGGGGACTGGTGATGGAACGTTTGATGAGTACAGGGAGAGACACGATGTCCACACTGTCCACCTCATCACTGTCAGTACAACCATAGTCACCAAACATGGTGTAGGGTATCACACCAAGGTTTCCCAGCAGGTCAACAGATGGAGGGTTATCTGTAAAAAATTCAAAACAAAGTAGCATTTGTAAATAATAAAACAGCTCAATGCAGAAATGTACTTTTTCCTTTTTAATGTCAATGAAAGATTGCTTTATGCATACTTGGATTAAAAATAATGCTGAAAAAATCCAGTTTATATGTAATGTTACATTCCATTTGTCGTGTGCATAGTCCAGTGGTTAGCAACCCTCCCTCTGGACTAAGAGTTTGGGAGTTCAAATCTCTGTTTTCGCTGTTGTCGCTCACCTGACATGCAAGCTATTGGAAAGGGTTGCAATCACTAGGATGGGCCTTTAAGTTGCGGTCTACCGCTCATTGCGCTTGTCAAAAAGAGCTACAGTACAATGAACCTGACAGTGTAAAAACTGTACATAGCATCTGTTGTTATAACCAGTGGAAGAGTCAATTGTAGCTCTTCAGTGAGCTAAACTGGATCAATTCCTTTCCATTTGATAAATATCAGATAAAGACCATTCACAAAACAATTTTTCACCCATCCAGCAGTTATGTGTACTCCATTTTTATTCTAATAGGTAATCCAGTAATGTATCAAATATGTACTTCCTCCTACAATTTTTGTGTTGACTATCATGGGGCCACCCCCCACAACATACTAATGTACATGAATAATACTGTTTTGAAGTACCAAGCTACTGTACAATACAGCACTATACTTTGTGCCCCCAAAGTAAGTACTTACCCAGCATATCAAACTTGTCTGGCAGAGGTTCCACCTGCTGATCTGCCCACACCTTCTTGGCTATATTTGCAGAAACTGTGCCTCCCTCCTTAGATACAACCAGTGCTGGAATGCACAATAGAAAATGTGTTACATGCTTTGTAGTACAACAACATTTCTAATGATTTAAAATCTAGCTATGTGTCAGCTCTGGGTCAACAAATTTATGTAGTGTTATTTTTTGTGTTGATATAACTACCAACACAGATGAACTTTCATGATAGTAAATTATGTACATAATGTAGTGTCTATCGTTCCGTCTTTTTGCCCCTCATGACATGACATTTGCCCTATCTGTCATCTTTGACAGACAAAAATGGAAAGAGATGTCAATAAACATAGCTTACTCTACCAGCAAAATTTGCTCCTCAAAATGCAGGAAACAATACCCAGTGCATGCTGGGCCTTGGAAAAAGAATGTTGTGTTTTCTGTTTCCCGACCAACCCTAAAAAAACAACCATAGCCTTTTTTGTGTGGACCCAGCAAGGGACATGAATTTTTCAATCTGATCGACCTTTTCTAGCTCCATATGGTTTGACACCTGAGTGATGAAATGTTGTACAATTGATTTGCTAACATTGACATTGAAAATATAAGAGTCCTCATGCAAGTTTTAGTTTGTTAAACTGTATCGTACAACCTGGATCACTAGAGATCGCCAAAGTCTAAAAAAAATAATCCCTTTCTACCGACCCTAATTTTTTCAGCACTGAAACAGGAAACACAACTTTTTTCATACGCCTTACCTTTTTGTGCATCACTGTCTTGTTTCTCCTGTGGATACAGCAGCCTCTGTACACTGGAGTCTGAGTGGTGACCGTGGACGTTTCTTTCCTTAAACCTGGACCTCTTCACCACCCAGGTGGAATCTATGGTCTCCTCATACAGTATTCCCTCTACTGTGGAGTCGGAGGAATGTCCATACGGAATCTTCCCTCTGGAACTCTCTTGAACTCCATGTTTAGCGTTGTCAGGAGGAGTGGGTAGCTGAGGCTGTGATTTAGGTTTGCTGTCTGGTTCCAGCTCTCCTATTGGGTAGAGATAGTCCTGTGCGGTAGATTCTGAAGCGTGCCCGTGCTTGCTTCTTCTCGGTCTAGCGGCGGTCGGCTCTTGAGACACGTCCGAAGCGTGCCCGTGCTTGCTTTTTCTCGGTTTCGCAGCGTCCGGCTCCTGAGACACGTCCGACGCGTGCCCATGTTTGCTTCTCCGCGGTCTCGCCGAATCCGGCCCTTCGGACAAATCGGACGGATGTCCGTACTGACTCCTAGCCGCCTGTTTTGTACCGTCTTGCTCTGCCTCTCCAGAAATCAAGTCTCCAAGAACAGAATCTGAGGCATGCCCATGCTGACCCACTCTTATTAAAATCTTCTTTTCTTCCTCCTCTCTGATCTCACCTCTGGAGTTAAAGGCAGAGTCAGAATGATGTCCATGTTCCCCTCGTCTGACCAACCTCTTCTGGGTGTCTTCCTTGACTTCTCCCCACGTGGTGAGAACTGACTCAGAGTGGTGGCCATGTTTCCCTACCCTTATCTGAGCCTTGTGAGTCTCTCCTGCCGTCATTTCTCCACCAGGAGTGAAGACTGAGTCAGAGTGATGCCCATGTTTCCCTACCTGTACGCTCGCCTTTTTCCCTTCATCCCCCTCCCCCATCTCTCCGTCAGTAGTGAAGACAGAGTCGGAGGGATGGCTTTTCTTTATCCCGTCTCCACTTGCGGGTGAGGTTACATCTTCTTCACTGAAGACAGAAGACTGAGAGGGGCGTCCATGTTGTTGTACAGCAGTGCCTGACTTGGTCTGAGCTGGTATAGAGGTGTCTAACAGGTGTGGTGTTCTTTCTTCACGACGCAATTCTGAACCGATTTCCAGCAACACTTCGTCAAGTTTAGCCGCACTTACATCTTCCTGGGTTTCTTCCGCCGTGGGTTCAGACTTGGGCAGGAATTCTTCAATGGACAAGTCTAGTAGGTTCCTCCCATCCGGGACGGAACGTAAAACGGTCGTTGGTTCTGCTGACGGCTCTGCTAGGAACGAAACCAGCTTCCCTGTCTCTAGTCCCGGTTCTGGACTCTCGGCAAACGAAACCAGCGATCCTGTTTGGCCATCCACATTCGGACTGTCAGTTCTTCTCCCTCTCTCTCCACCAGGGCTCGCCTCTCCGGCGGAACTCGCTCCTTTCTTGAGTCTCTCCTCCTCCTTGAGTAGGAAGTTGAGACGTTCCTGGTCCAGACGGTGCCGGCGGATCTTCCACAGAGCTCTCTGCTCTCTCTTGGCGGCTTCTTCACCTAACTTGGCATAGTACTCCACTACCTGTTCCCTGTATGATGCATAAAAAAATATAAATCACTAAATAGTGTGCTCAAGGGTACAATGTAATTGTTACTGATGCCAAGAAAAGAAGTTTTTCCACAATAATAGAGCTAGTAAGACAGTAGCTTTAGAACACTTTTTCCCCGTTCCACTCTGTGTAGAGCATAGCAGTGGTGCCCATCTCCAGTTCTGTAGCTCTTGCATGACACAGTTGTGCAAGCACTACAGCAGGGGGCTAGCCCGCTGGTAGTGCTGTGTGTTTGACCTTTCCCATGCTCTTTCTCTCTCATAGATGCTGAGTGCTAAGCAGAGAAAGCAGTATGTATCATTTTAAAAGTCTTTGGTATGACTCAGCCTGGGTTCGAACTCATGACCTCCCGGTTACAAAGTAAGCACTCTACACAATTGAGCTATTGCACCAGTTTAACACTGATTTAACACTGATTCAATGTTTATATATGAAGTCCTCCTAACCTGGCTTGTCTCTCCAGCTCAGCCTCTGCCTCTGCCTCCTCACTCTCCCGTCTCTTCAGACCCTCGATAAACGCCACGTCTTCCTCTGCCTCCTTCTCCTTCTCTGACGCTCGGCGCTGAGGGAACAACAAATTAAAATGTCCCTTTTCTCTTTTCACACTTTTGACATGTTTCACTATGCATGCAAACCAGGTGCTGGAGGAAAGTCCTGATTCCATCAGGTAAGAGCATTTATTTAGTACTGGGAACACAAGGGACGTCGGTAGGAATTTCTTCCTGGGAGATACATGAAGCAATGGATCATCCTACGTTACCAACCATGGCGAGGGAATGAGAAGATACCATGGCGAGGGAATGAGATGATAAGGGTGGATATGACTTTTATGTTCAGTAAGACTGGCAATTAAAACATACATTGCCATGGCGATGGTGGTTGCTGTTAGGGTTATTGTTTGCATGGTACTGCCATCATTTCATGATTTTGAGGAAGACTTGGTACCTGTTAAGTCTAGACAGATACAGTGCACTGTGTGTATAGTGAACGGGTCACATAAAGTAGGGCCATCCGGGGCAGACAGGTCTTCCCAAGGTTTCCAGGAATGTGGGCATAGACGTGGGTCAGAGACATGCCTGTGGACATTCCATTCCTGTGGACAAAATGCCTGTACCATTCCTAGAATTCTTGCAAACTTCACACACTACTGTACCATTAGGCTCCTCCCTGAGACGTCGCCAAAGATGTGATACTAGTAACTAGGGGTGGGTACCAGTTCTGTCGAACCTGTTACAACTCAGAGTAATATCCAAGAGCCGAGTAAAAATAACTGGAACTTGTGAACCAATTCCTTTTTTGGACTTGAAAATATCAAGGGTGGACATGATTTTCATCTTCAGTATTAATAAATGGCGTGATAACTAGGGATCGGTACCAGTTCAGTCGAACCTGGTGCAATTAAGAGTAACATCCAAGAGCTGAGTAAAAAAAAAAGTAAGTCGTGAAACAATCTATTTTTCAGGCTTGTGACAAAATTCAAATACATGTAGTTGACACTTGAATGGTCCTGCACCTGTAGATCCTGTTCCATCTGCTCCTTAAGTTCCTGGAATTGTTGTCTCTTCTTGGCATCAGCAGCTTCCAGGGCCTTCTGTCTCTCACCTGAAGTATGCAAAGTTAGAGATCAGAGCACTACACACGGCATGGTACTAGTATCATTTTACCACTTTGTAGGGTGTTATATGCATTGCAAGGCTCTCCCCAAGCAATGAAGTAAGGATGCTCCCCCTCTCCCCAAAATCCTAGCACTACTCCCAAATTGTTCAAATTTAGGGTTTCTCGTCATATTTTCATAAAAATTCACTGATATTTCCTCAACCAATTGGGGAGCACCTCTCCCCTAAGAATTCTGGGGAGACCACTGCATTGGAAAGGTGTAAAAATGAGAACTTCATGAACTTATGTCATTTAGCCGCTGTACACTTGAAGAAGCTACACAGGCGAAACCGGTCGTGTGACAGGCTGAATAAAAGTTCTAAACGGGAACTATGCGGCTCCAGATGTCTTACTGCTAGATGTCTGATAGCTCAAGGAATGAATCCACTCTACTATATATGCAGAGTTAGAGATCAGGAGTAAGCCTACCAACTTACATGTACCTGGATTGCAAATGTGCATCACAGATGCAATGACAATCAGTAGTCACAAATTGCAAATCAAATCAGGAAGACATAACTGTTCCAGAGCAAAGAATCTGCCAATTTTGTAGTCTTGGAAAAGTAGAAGATAAGGCACATTTTCCTGTAGCTTGTTCTTTGTTTGAGAAGTGTACCTACTGCAATACATGTACATCTATAAGTATTAGTAGTTCATGTCTATGCCCCTAAGTACTTACTCTGAATGCGGTCGATCTCCTTGGATGCTGTCTGCCTGGCGAGAACCACCAGGTCCTGTCTGGCCTGGACTGCCCTTCTCTCCTGTAGTAACGACATCATCGTACACACTCAAATTATTGTCTTTACCTTCGCAGAAGGAAAATATATTGTTTTTGCTCTGTTTTTTCCTCTTCTTCTGTTCCAAACGAATAAGGTCAATGACCTTAACCAGATGTCTGTCACCATGGTAACTAGTGCTGTAGCAGACACTCGGTGTGGTTTTGGGTTACATTATATAGCAAGTGGCATGCAGGACAGAGTTCTACCATACATATATAAAACAAATAATGGCAAAGGTTTTTGAACAGTCTGAGCTGTACTTCTAAATTCTGAGTGGTGCAGATAAAATCTGTTTGGTGCAGATAATTTTGGGTATGCAGAGAAAACAGTACGGGTATGTATTTATGAGGCCTGGTTTCTTTGTGTGGCGTTGTTGTGGGACTCACCATCTCTTCCCTGGATACCGTCTTGTGCCGGGCCACCCCTTCCATCTTCCCCACATACTCCGCACACCTCTGCTCGATGTTAGACAGGTCCTCCATGGAGAAGGTGAGGGCCAGGCGAGGGACTGGGACATCTCTTGTGCACAGGTGATGCTGTAAGGGGTGGGGAATATTATTGCAGAATTCAATAAGGCCATGTTAATTTGATTATATGGATGACATCCTCTAGGAACCCCAAAACTGATGCCAGTTTCAAATTTAAAAAAAAAATGGTCCAAAAAAGGTGCCTAAGGCTTCATTATTAAATCTATGTGGTTATGAAGGTTGAACAAATAACAAAGTATATGTAAACATACAAATTATGGCATGGCAACTCATTTTCATTTCTTCACATTTTCTTCTTTTCCCTCAGAATTGATTTTGGCATTGTACAACATTAGTCTTGTTTTCCAATTTTTTTTTTGCAATGTACGGTCGGTCATACATCTGCTCATTTTACAGCAGCTTTGTATGATTTACAGTAAACGTTTTTAGTTGAAAATTCATGCGTGCATGAATGTCTAACATATAATCAAATCAACATGGCCTAATTAAAAATTTCTGGCAGGATACATCAACAGATAAATCACAGCTCCAAATGCAGTAAGTTCAATCAATTAAATCCTACATCTCATACTGATATATGTGAGGCAAAAATGCAATGTTGCTGAGAGAACAGAACTTCAGAAAAAGAAACATAGAGTTGATTTGCGACAGATTAGAGAGTGACCCACCCCAGGACAGCAGAGTCTGAGCAGGTTGAGTGATTTCCCACACACAAAGATGTCATTAGCCAGATCTGCCAGGAACAGAGGAACACTCTCCTCTACTGTAGCTGTGGCCACCGTGAACCCCTGGGTCCAGTAGTGCTTATCTGAAATACACCAATACAACATACTGAAATTACTTTATCTTCACAGTGGTAAAAGTTCACGGTCTGAGAAAAATGAAGGTATTCACGGAACTGTTACATTCACAGTGGTGGCAGGTGCAACAAAAAGAAAGACTTAGTGATCGTGATCTCGAACAAGTTTAGCTTATTGAAGAGCTACATGTACTCTCCCACTGGTCATGAGTATGTATGTACAGTATTTACAGGTTCATTTTACCGGGGAAATTCCACTAGCTCTTTTTGACAAGCACAATGAACAGTACTAGTGGACCATGGCTTAATGTCCCGTCCTAAGGACTGCGACCCTAAACAGTGGCGTGCATGTTGGGTGAGCGAAACAACAGCCGGGATTTGAACTCCCATTTTCTTAGTCCAGAGGCAGGATTGCTAACCACTGGACTACACGCGCTACTTCATCAGTCGAAAGTCAGCGAATTATTTGTTCGCAGTAAAGATAAGTTCGCAGTACAGACTGAGGTAACTGCCAAAACCGCAAACATAAAAGTGCAAAAAAAACAACAACAGGAATTACAGTACTGCACAGGAGAAAGAAAATTTAAATATGCCTGTTTTTGTAAGTAACCAGTAAACCTACATGTAGCTGCATATGGTAGTAAGTCTGTTTCACAAATTTTTTGTCATAGCTACGTCTTTTACTTGTAACACCCCATAGATCTAGCTAGTATGTTATTCTGAGGGGGGTGAGGTATACTAGTACTGCCTCTGCAGATAACGGTACATGAATATTCCATTCTGTGGATATAAATGACATATTCAAACACCATTGACCTTCGTTATCAATTTTCATTTTTTTATGAGAAGTAAGAACCCACCTCGGAAGGACAGGAACTCATCATTGACCTCTATGGTGTACTCTCCGTAGATGTCTCGACATATTCCATCAAACACCCAGGCCTGGACAAAACTGTCACAGGGAAAAAAAGGCTTTGAAACAAACGAAACAAAAAGACAAGTACACAAATGCATGCAACTTTACACATTACAAGGCACTAAAATCAAATGCAAACTGTGGCTTCCAGAGTTCTAGCCAACATCCATTTTTCCATCATTTGATGGCATTTTGTTGCTCACAACAGACAAGATTTTTCCCAATCCATCATGTTTGATAGACAAAATTCAGCATGTTAAGATATGGACAGAGATGTCATTATACTAAGCTTAGTCATACCAGCAAAATTTGCCCCTCAAAATGTATACGTAGGAAATAGCATTTCTGAGGGTCAAGATTTTAAAATTTGGTCCCCAATTGCCTTTAGTGCTCAACATGATGACAGAGATGACCAAATAAAATTTCAGGCTTATCTTGAAAGTTCATCTGTGTTGACTTGGTAATAGTCATTACGAAGCAAATTTAAACTGTAATTTCCAGCACAAAAGATTGGACTTACTCAAATTTTTGACTGTACAACTCCAGTCTTTGTCAAGGAATGACAATATACTGCTTCTGTGATGTCATGTTATGCAGATTGCACATTCCTTGACAAAGACTGGAATTGTACAGTCCAAAATTTGGGCAGGTTCAATCCTTTGTGCTGGGAAATTACAGTTTAAACTTGCATCATAAAATCTCATTATGTACATTTGTCATTTATTATTATTATTATTATTACTACTTTGTTTTATTGTTTCCTTTTATGTGTGAGGAGAGGGCTGACATAAGTTTCATAACTTTTTGCCCAATCCTCGAAAAATAAATGTGAAATATAAATGTTTACCTTCGGATATGGTCTGCTTTGTTAATTCTTACTCAAACACATTCACATACATGTAAATGGTGACAGGAGTCTAAATGCCTAGTATGAGATTGCAACATTATGTAACCCAACACCAGTTACTATGGTGACAGACGTCAACAAAAGAGGCCATTGGCCAGGTCAGAGGTTAGTGTTTGGAACAGAAGAAGAAGAAATGGAGGAAAAACAGTATGTTTTCCTTCGGTAAACATAATAAAATTTCAGGCTGATTAGAACACTGGTGGTAACAGCAGACACTTAAGTTAAAGAAATAAGAATAGTTACTGACGTGATGTAGGGTCCGGTGGAGTGCTGTAGTAGAGACAGCAGGGCTGGGTAGTTGTCTGTGTTACAGGCATCCAGGGACTCACGGTACAAGTACGTCAGCAACTTCACTCCCTGTGGGTGGTACAAGAGTAGGACAGAGTCAGACCTAAGAAAATATGTTGTGTTTCCTGTTTCAGTCCAAAAAAAATTAGCGTTGCAAAGGTTCATTAGTCACGTAGAATTATCAGTTAGGCCACACCGACTTAATTTTATGGATGACATCTGCGGGCGCATTGATTTTTGCCTGTTCTCAAAAAAAAAAAAAAGATCACGTCCTCCGAGGCTCTGGCCTGGCTCTAGGCCTGGTCCATGGTCAAGTTAGTGACACTACGGAGCCGAGCATCCAGGCTATCGAATTCGAAGCTCCACGACTCAAGAACTCAGTACATACAGACAATACCGATTCATAAATTCTGCAAAAAAGCCAGCATGTGCCGGCTTGTCGCATACGTCACTAAGAACTGCCGCGAATTCAATACCAGCTTTGTATTCCTGTGGTTTATTAGCATTTTTATTTTTGGCCGGAATTTTTTTTATTCGCCCGCGCGCACTAGTTTGGGGGTCTTCAGAGGATGTCATCCATAAAATTGAATAGGTGTGGCCTTAGTAGAATATTCTTCAATCGGTGTTTTTGTAAGGTAAAATCACACACAAATTTTCGGTGTTGACTGTACACCTTGTAGTCTCGCGAGAACCGGGTTGAATCATAACATAGGTTGGGAGCTGCCCAAGTCCTATTTACCCCTACTCCGCAAGGAGGCGGGGGAGGCCAGAAGATCCACACAAGTCTCGACCTACTCTCGTGTTCTCGCGAGACTAGGTCACTCCGTGATCAAGGTGTACAGTTGACACCGAATATTTGGAGGTTCGTGATTTTACGTTACAAAAACAGTCACTGATTGAAGAATATTCTACTAACCCAAAAAATTAGACTGGCGATCTCTTGTGATCTTAGAAAAGTAACATTTTATCATACTCTAGAGAATGCGACACTCCTAAGCTTGACACTTATTAGAGTTAGTATTGTTCTTTTGCCCTAAGGCTTGTTAACATTCTGGCATGAATTTTCAATAAACTTTAGTAATCCTTACCGTAGGGAAGCCATGTGGCACTCCATTTTTACCAGCAGGTTTAAATGGACTGGAGGATGAACACATACACAACTCTGCCAGGTACCTGCAGAAACATGCCAAGGGGTAAAAGATATAAGTTACAACAGCAAAATATATTGGTGGAATAAATAAAGTTCTGTTACATTTTACTAAATCAATAGTAGAATTGAGATCTGATTAATCCAAAAGAGGCAAGATATATATGGATGTTATGTGTTAGTATTTTTGCTACTGTTAGTTTATGTTTGATATATTCCCTGTGTGTCGTATGTGTGTATATGTCAGAATTGACCGAAGGAAGAATAGCTACAGTTTCACTTTGTACACTAATTGTACATAAAGTCAAGTCAAGTCAAGAACTCTTGCCTGATCTGTGTCCCAAGTTTCCTGTACCGCATCTCTAGTGTGAGCAGGGACACACTGGATGAGCCTGACAGCACATAGTACCTACATCGTACATGGGCAGGAAATTAATACAGAACTACTCTGAACCATAACATACCTTGTAACTCTGACTTTTTTTAACACAAAGCAATAATGGCAAGCATCTGCTTCCTTTCTCTGTGACGTGAGTTTCAGTACAAGACATGTACATGTAGGTATCTTAGGAACCATTCATTTTCAAATGAACAGCAGTGCAGTTGTAACTTTCTTAAAGGGGCATGATTTAACATTTTTGTGCCAAAATTAACAAAAATTGAAATACACTGTATCTTAATCTTGATTTACTTCCACTTTTTTCAACATATTTGTGCAATTATCTAACACTCCTGACATTTATGTTTGGGACTAAAACAGCACACATGAGGCGCACTCAGTTTGTGGTGCCACCACAAACTACCAGAATGTAAACAAACATGGCTGACAGCTGTGTTTCCAGCTTTTAAACGCACTCGTAAGGCATCATATCTTGGTACCTACACTTCCTGAATGACACTTAATTGTAATGGAGTGGGGTTGATTCAAATTACTTTGTAAACAAATGATCGGAAAATCATTTTTTTGTATCCTCCTGATGTTACATAATGCAGCAATGCATAGTCCAGGGCTCGAAATTGAAGGTGGTCTAATGGCCACTGACCACTAAAATTCAGGCTGGGACAACTAAAAAGGCACTTTCAAATTGGTACATTTTTGGGATAACAGAAAAATAATCAACATCAGAATGTCAGCCCTTCTTTTGTTTATCTGGCACATGTCCTGGCTTTTGGCTCTGGAAAATTCTCCCCTGAATTTTTCTGTCTACTCTGCAATTATAGTGCACCTGGCAGTGAACATAACCAAAACAAACTTCCCCAAAAACAGGTTGGGACAGTTCATCCCCACTTTTGGACAATTGAAATTTATTTTTGGGACAATGCTGGGACAATAGGAAGAAAAGTTTACAATATTTTGAATTACACCACAGATCCATACCTATAATACTGCAGGTACTTCCTGAGACCTCCAGTAAAAGCCTGGAAGATCAGTCCGCCCTGGTAGAAGGAGTCCATGACGGGCGGGGCCGCGAAGGTCGCTAGGCGACGGTAGTTGGTCCCGATCTCTGCAAATCTGGACAGAGTCTGTCGCATGGCCCCTGGAGTGGTCCCAGACATGTGGACACCGTCCCTCACACGAAAAGACTGGGACATCTATAGGAGAAGGAATGGTATATTGGAGTCTTTTCTTAGGCCATGCTGATTTGATTGTATGGATGACATCGTCTGGGAACCTCAAAAGTTCAAATCTACATGGTCATGAAGGTTGAACAAATGAGTATAGTATGGCAAATACAAAATGTAATAGACTCTCCATTTTCATTACTTCACATTTTCTTCTTTTCTTTTGGAATTGATTTTAGCATTCTACTACATTGTATTGTTGTTTTCCAATATTTTTCTGTAATAAAAAATGAAAATCACGCTTTTCTGATGGTTTTTCCATGATCTTAATTTTGTTTGGCATTTGCTGGTAGACTAAGCTTAGTTTAAAGACACCTTTCTCCATATCTTTACACACTGATTTTTATCTGTCAAGGATGGCAAAATCTTTGTCCAGAATTTGATGGAAAGATAAAGAACAGGCTAGAGCAATGCTTTAACCTCAGAAGAGGTGTGATGGGTGACACGCCACTCAAAATCTCAGCACAAGACCACTGGTGTTCCCTGTCTCCCATACTGTTAAATATAAACTTTTCTACAATCGATAGTAGTTTGGAACAATCTTCCAGAGGCAATAGCTATGATTAGGGACAGACAGAAGTTTAAATGTCAAGTAATTTCTTTTTGCAGTGCAAAACTCTTACAGCGTTCTGTCTTGGCAGTGCTAACGCTAAGCTAGAGCTGATAGATGAAAAAAAAGAAACACAGTTTACCTGGTCTAAGATGAATGTGTTTGAGGGTACTCCGATGAGCACATTCAGAGTGTCCCTGACCAGGTCTGTCTCCTGTACCATGCAGCTGGCAGGTGTCTGCACCGTGCAGCTGTCCAGCCCTGACACCTGCACCTGCCGCTGCAGCATCACGTACAGGGCATCGAACACCTGCCGACCTGCCTCTGTCAGGTATGGCTTCTCTGTGGGACCTGGTACACTGGCAGGGAGAGATCAGAGAAATCTTACAAGCATGACTCTTTACTTCTATATTGTTTGTTTATTTGTTTATTTAACCAGAGAACATATCGCCCTGGAGGGCGGTTTTCAATGCACCCTGGGGGGGCAATCCCCAAACACAATAAAATAATAATAATACAACATAAAGTAATCACTGAAGAAAACTTATGTACAATCAAGGGGCAAATTAAAATAAGGTAACTTAAGCAAGAACTTAAGAGCCGATGTCTGTAAAAACCAAGCAAATCAGAAAAAAAGTGGCCAAACTCAAAAAATCAAATTTTCTCAAACTTTGTGTGGTGGTAGGGCCTTGACCCAAACTTACAAAAATGGGTAAGTTTTAGGACGCCTGGTTATTTGTTGCCATGGCAACGGCCATTTTTCAAAATGGCGGATTTTTACCTTGTGGAGGCATAAGTCTTGCCCAAAATGGACCATCTTTTACCTTCCGTATCTCACAGAAAGTAACACATATCTCAATTGCTTCTAACATATTTTATCGATCCATATTGTAACTAAGAAAATGATATGAAGTTTTGCTCGAAATGTTTTTGTGGTGAGCTGTAGCAGACGTTTAAAAATGGCGTGTTTTTGTAAAATTTCAAAATTGAGAAAAAGCCATTTTTAGGACGTTTTTAGTGAACCATGGCCGCTTAAAAGGCAGGTAGAATTAGTTGATTTTTGGCACAGTTACGGCTATAACCTTTGTCTACAACATATCAGAAAATATCTTTGGGGTCTTCATGGGGGGGAGTACAGTGACCCCCTAGACTAAACCATTATTTCCATTGTGAAAGAATCCCAACCGCTGCATTATAAGTGAATAAAGCATCCACAGCATGGCTATACAGTAAAGAAAACGAAATCTAAAGCTTTTTTCAAGTGCTAAGGAAACCTACCTCGCACTGACAAAAGTTGTTTCCTTCTGGGCTGACAACGGGTTACCATGGCAACAGTTATATGGGGAGGGGGGCGGTGTTTTGAGGCCCACGGCCACTTTCTTGTTGTATAATGTCTGAAAAGTTTAAACTAGAACCACCAAACTTGGTGACTTTTCCTCAAATAAATTTTGCAATAATTTGATATTCATACTTTCATGTTGCCATGGTCATGTTGCCATGGCAACTGGTTGCTGACAGG